ACCGCCGAGCCGCCGCCGTCGCGGCCTCCGAGACCACCGAGGCCACCGGGACCGCCGGAAGATGGAAAGCCGGCAAATGGAAAGCCGGCAAATGGAAAGCCGGCAAACGGCCGCGCCGGCCGATAAACGGCCGAGCCGGCCAGCAAACGGCCGCGCCGGCCGACAAATGGCCGAGCCGGCCAGCAAACGGCCGAACGGGCCGACGAACGGCCGCCCACGCTCCCGGGGGAACTCACCGGGGCAGTCAGCCAGGTGGGTCAGAATCTTCTAAGTCCTCGGGGGTCCTCGGGGGTCCCGGGGGTCTCCAAACCCCCCCCTCTGTCCATCTTCAGCTCCACTACCACGGAGCTAAGAAGCAGGGGTCCGCCATCTTCCAGACATGCGCAGTATCCTGCATCCTGTGTGATTTCTCACCTGAATATTTCCATTTGTTTTTTAACTAACCAGTGAGAAATGAATCCTTGCTATGAGTAGATGCTCAGCTCCAGCAATTCCAGCTTTTTGAGAACAGATGCTTTCCTATCTGTGCAATGAAGAACTGTGAGTTCTTCAGCAATTGGATTAATGACTTTTCTTCCATTGCGTCTTCTAATACCTCCTTGTATGTTTCCCCTGAGTCTTCCTTAACTGAGAACTGACAGTGAGATTTGAATATGGACAAATTGTACACAAAAAGGATGTTTTAGATATTTTCAAAGATTTATGGCTCATAAATTTAGAAATTCTCTTTTCTGTACCATACCAGTGTAAGCAGGCAAAACTCCAAGATACTAGCATTTGAAAAATTCCCGAAGAAGGTTCCTACAATTTGATCTTTTTCCCTAACCTTGTTATCTTTTTCATTTCTCTTTTCCTCTGAAGGTAATTATGGGCAGGAGAATAAATATTCCAGAGAACTGTTGCAAGTGATCAATGCTGGAGATGGAACAGAGAAACCTTCAATTCAAATGAAACCTGAAAACCATGAGAGAAACCAGTCAAATAATTGGAAACAAGAAAGTTTGTCTTCCATTGATGCCCCAGTGCAAGGCTTTTTTGCCCAACAAGAAGAAATAGAGAAAAAATATATTGGGAATTGTGTAAAACTGTCCCAGAACAAATTAGATGCAAAGGAACACTATCCAATCCCAAATCAAAAAGAAGCTTATATATGCGCTGACAGTTGGAAACATTACAATTCAACTTTCACTGTTACTTCTAAAAATGCGTCCCTTACATCTCATAAAATGATTCGGACAGAAGAGAAGCCTTATAAATGCTTGGAATGTGGAAAGAGCTTCAGAAGAAGCAGTCAAGTTACTTCCCATAAATGGATCCACACAGGGAAGAAGCCATATGTGTGCACTGAATGTGGAAAGACCTTTACTCAGAAGGGTAACCTTAATTCGCATAAGAGGATCCACACAGGGGAGAAGCCATATAAATGTATGGACTGTGGAAAGGGCTTCCGTGAAAATGGATTGCTTATAAAACATAAAAGGATCCACACAGGGGAGAGGCCATATAAATGCAGAGAGTGTGGAAAGACATTTACTCACAGCAATCAGCTTACATGCCATAAAAGGATCCACACAGGGGAGAGGCCATATAAATGTGAGCAGTGTGGAAAGAGTTTTACTAATAGCAGTCATCTCACTTCCCATAAAAGGATCCACACAGGAGAGAGGCCCTATAAATGCCAAGAGTGTGGAAAGAGTTTTTGCGAAAATGGGCTTCTAACTGTTCATAAAAGGATCCACACGGGGGAAAAACCATATAAATGCAGAGAGTGTGGAAAGACATTTACTCACAGCAATCAGTTTGCTTGCCATAAAAGGATCCACACAGGGGAGAGGCCATATAAATGTGAGCAGTGTGGGAAGGCCTTTACTAATGGCAGTCATCTTACTTCGCATAAAAGAATCCACACAGGGGAAAAATCATATAAATGTGTGGAGTGTGGAAAGAGCTTCTTTGAAAATGGGCCTCTTACTGTTCATAAAAGGATCCACACAGGGGAGAGGCCGTATAAATGCCAAGAATGTGGAAAGACATTTACTTACAGCAATCAGCTTACCTGCCACAAAAGAATCCACACAGGGGAGAGGCCATATAAATGTGTGCAGTGTGGGAAGGGATTTATTAATAGTGGTCATCTCACTTCCCATAAGAGGATCCATACAGGGGAAAAACCATATAAATGTGCAGAGTGTGGAAAGAGCTTCCGTGAAAATTCATCCCTTATGAAACATATAAGGATCCACACAGGAGAGAAGCCATATAAATGTGTGGAGTGCGGAAAGGGCTTTACTAATAGCAGTCAACTTAATTCACATAAAAGAATCCATACAGGGGAAAAGCTATATAAATGTGCGGAGTGCGGAAAGAGCTTCAGTCATAATAGTTCCCTTATGTCTCATAAAAGAATTCATACAGAAAAGAAATCATGTAAATATGAGTAAACGATGGGAAGTGACTGGATGAGTTGAATTTCTACCTCCATCTCTGCTATAGTGGAGGAAAGATTGATCAAGTTTTGTCATGAACAGATACACCTTTGGGGAAGCGGCACCTGTTAAATGCCTGTTTACATCCCTCCCAGAATCAAGATCAACTGAAAACCGATAAACGTACTCTTAAGAAGAGGTTGTCATTACAGAGCTTCAGGAAGAGTGGTTACCTAATTTCGCCATTAACTGGTAAATTGGAAAATTCACACAAATTCTAGACTTTCTTGTTTATACATTTCATATTGCATATACTGATCTGGGAAAGGAAAAATGTTTTGAGTCAGACCCTTAAAACTGGTAGCTCCAGAGGTAAAATTGCCAATGAAACAAAAAAAAAATCTTGCACTTGCTTTTTTTTATTATAAACAGCAGATTTTTGAAGGCACTGTAATTTGAAGATGGCTAATGCACCTTTGTAACGAAAATATATTCTGAAGAGTATGTTTACTCTTGGAATACTGCATCCAGTTTTGGTCACCACAATGTAAAAAAGATGTTGAGACTTTAGACAGAGTACAGAGAAGAGCAACAAAGATGATTAGGGGACTGGAGGCTAAAACCTACAAGGAACGGTTGTTGGAATTGGGTATGTCTAGTTTAATGAAGAGAAGGAGGAGGGGGGGCATGATAGCAGTGTTCCAATATCTCAGGGGTTGCCCCAAAGAAAGGGAGTCAAGCTATTCTCCAAGGCGCCTAAAGGCAGGACAAGAAGCAATGGATGGAAACTAACCAAAGAGGAAAACAACCTAGAATTAAGGAGAAACTTCCTGACAGAACAATTAATCAGTGGAACAACCTGCCTCCAGAAGCTGTGAATGCACTGGAAGTTTTTAAGAAGAGACTGGACAGCCATTTGTCTGAAATGGTATAGGGTTTCCTGCCTGAGCAGGGGGGTGGACTAGATGACCTCCAAGGTCCCTTTCAACTTTATTATTATTATCTATCCGTTTTCAGTTGATCTTGATTCTGGGAGGAATGTAAACAGGCATTTAACAGGTGCTGCTTCCCCAAGCAGAAGGTGTATCTGTTTATGACAAAGCTTGATCTGTCTTTCTTTCAGTATAGCAGATGGAGGTAGAAATTCAAATCATTCACAGTCACCTCCCATAGTTTACTCAAAGATGCTGTTTCAAAAGGCCACTGGATTGTTTTTTTTCCTTGAAGAAGAAGATATTTCGCTTCTTACTGGATAAGAAGCAAAATATGTTCTTCCTCAAGGAAAAAAATAGTCCAGTTTGAGACAACTATGACCTGGATGACTTGAGAATCTCCACAGACATTTCCCATAGTTTTTTAAAAAATTATTTCATTTATCTGGTGTTGCAGTTTTCCCTTCCTTTTCTTATTTTTTAATGCACTCATTTCATGAAATGACCCTAAATTCTTTTTCCAGTGAAAAAATTTCAAAATGGCACAGCAGAGTCTGTAGGAATATTATAATTGAAAGGGAATTAAAGTTTCATCAACGTACTGTATACAGGGAAAGATGGAATATGATACTGAATTGTTCCATTGATTGTGATAGCTGAATTAAAGTGACAAGATTTATGCTATAAATTGCTCATGAATTTCCCTTTCTTCCACCTGTCTATCCTTTGTTCCACTTTCCCAAGTTGGGCTACTCAGGAGAGTGAGAATGAAAACAACTCCAGTGTGCTGACATTACAAATGCTAAAGCAAGAAGGAAGACTTTCGGAAATTAGTAAGGACCTAAATAAAACAATGTGAAAACTACTTCAGAAAACTACTTCAGTCCCTCCTGAAAATATAATATAAAATATAAAAGGGGAAAAAAGTGACATTGCCATAGGTGTATATTACAGACCACCCAACCAATCAAAAGAAATAGATGAACTCCTTGCCAATCAGTTAACAAACGTATGTAGGAAGCATACCACAGTAGTAATGGGAGACTTCAACTAGCCAGATATCAACTGGGAGACAAACTCTGCAGCGAGTGAAAGATCAAACAGATTCTTAACTAACCTAGGTGACAACTTTATCATCCAAAAGGTAGAGGAGGGAATTAGAAGTAAAGGTATACTGGACCTAATCCTTACTAATCAAGAAGAAGTGATGGAGTTTGAAGTTGCCAGAACCTTGGGTGAAAGTGACCATGCTGAAATTCAATATAATGCAAACACAAACAATAGAAAATAATCCAACCAGAGTCTTAAATTTCAAAAGAGCTGATTTTAATAAACTCAGAACCTAGGAAAGATTCCATGGATGAAAACCCTAAAGGGGAAAACAATTCAAGAATCGTGGGAAACACTGAGGAGTATGATCATATGGGCCCAGTCAGCACAATATCACTGAAAAAGAGAAAAAAGAAATTCAAGAGGAAACAAGCATGACTACACAAAGGTCTCTCTGACAAAATGAAAAACAACAAGAACAAGTACAAAAAATGGAAAGAAGGACACATAACTAAGGCTGATTATCAGCAGACAGCCAGAACATGGAAAGATGAAGTCAGGAAAGCAAAGGCTCAGAATGAACGAAAACTTGCAACAGAAATCAAGGACAATAAAAAAAAGTTTCAACATATTAATAACAAACACCCCCCCCCCCGAGGAAACTAGGTCCACTAAAGAGAGAAGATGGCAAGAAAGTAACAAACAGTAGGGAGAAAGCAGAACTGCTTAACTCATTCTTTGCATCAGTCTTCACACAAAAAGCAGAACTTAAAACAGTCTAGGTTTCTTCAAAAAACATGTTTATTGGTTACATAGTATTGGCATGGTCAAAAGTGAAACCAAGTCTGAAACCCCCTCCAAAGAGAAACACCATTGCAAAGTTACATTTCTCACCCCAGGGCTATACAATCAGCTACATAGAATGGTTTGGCAGGCTTTTTAACCAAATGCTCACGCCTCCCCTCCCCACCTAACAGAAATGACCATGGTTCCCACGGGACAGTAAAATGTTTAGACTAGCATAAATCCTCCGCACCCCCTTCCATTCTTGTGGCAACCTAGAACGAGCAAGATGGCAGCAGCCAGGTTTATTGTTGAGGAGCCCCTTAAATGCATGTGCAAAAGATTTTATTCAGACGTCGGGGCCATATTTTGCCTTTCCATGGTGTTAGGACAATGGTTCTCAACCTTTTTAATGCCGTGACCCCAACCGGTCGTAAGTTGAGGACTAAACCGGTCGTAAGTCGAGGACTAAACCGGTCGTAAGTCGAGGACTACCCAACTGATCGTAAGTCGAGGACTTTCCCTGCCTGGGAGCGCCGCGCATGCGTGGTTCTGCCCCCTGCACCGGCCGAGGCGTAGCTGGCAAGCAGCAGAGACGGAGCAGGCCGACCACCAGCTGGCCCAGCCCAAGGGAGGTAAGGCACCCACCGGAAAAGGGGAAAAAAATGGTGGACAAAAAAAATGGCGGACAAAAAAAATGGCGGACAGCCTTGCTTGGCAACCCCCGTGAAATGTTTGATCGACCCCAAATGGGGTCCAGACCAGGTTGAGAACCACTGTGTTAGGAGGTCTAGGAAAAAAGTATAAATTTGACTGAAATAAAATAAAATATTAATGGTGTGGTTGCTTTCTGGGGATATATCAAATATCTTTCTATTTAGCTGCATTAAAATTACACATGAAAATGTTTGGAAGACTTTTGGTGGGGGGCATATTTCAGCCTGCTATTGGGTTGAAGGTTTTTTCCCCACTCCAAATATTGCTCATTAATGATTCTCTGGTCAAACTGCAGAATAAAAAACTAGATCTATAAAGAAAAAACACAGGTTAACTCGATTCTTTTTAATTGATTTTTAATCACTTTTCCCTCCATTTAAATTCTTTGTTTTACCCAGTGTAGCAAATCTCTTTTTGTTTGTCATTGTCAACTGCAAATGGGGTTCAATCTTTCATACCAATGGAGTCTTCAGCTCTTCTTATTTTGCTTTTTCATGTTTTATTTATTCATGATCTAATGATATCGCCCTTCCCTTAAATTCTTCAAAGGTCTTAAGCTTCCTGGTCTTATTTCCTGTGATGAATTTCCTGTTCAACCACCAAATAAAACAGATTTTTTTCTCTCTTCTTTTTTTCTTTCATGGTATTTGAGCTTTATATTCCCTTTCAATTTCTTCCATCCTTCATTTGGTAATTCCAACTTTTCTGCAGTCACAGATAAGATACCGCTTTTCTCCTCTTCATTTCTCAACCAAGGAGCTTCGTTATTTCTGGAAATAATTTCTGGAACATCCACGAGTTTCAGCTGTTTCTCCATTTTAAAAACTGATTTTGCTTTTTCTTTTGGAACATTTTCTTTATCTCAAGCTGCCGCTTGGCATCTCCAATTATGCTTAGGCACCCAGAGCCAAAAATAGGAGAAGAGCAGTTATGTATACTAAGTTAAAGAAATAAAAAATGACAGAAATCTCCATTTTCCCGAGGGTGGCTTCTCCGCCTGTGTCCTGCCAGTCCCATGTTCCTTCACCTCTGGCCAGAGTTTTCAAAAACCACAAGATACAAGTTGTGTTTCCAGGAGAGGCTCCTGGTCCTCATCGTCTGACTGCCTTGCCATTTCTGACAGGGTTTGGCCCATTTTGAGGCCTCCTCCGATCTCTGTGGAGACTTCATGGTGCCTATTCTTGAAGGAAGTGAGTCCAGATCCTCAGAGGTTTTCTCCATCCTCACAGTTCCTGGATAGGAAAAAGAGGAAGATGGAAAAACTGCCACCTCAGGACAAAGAACCAATGAGAGGGGCCTTTTCTTCTACTCCCATGCCTATCATCCCTGCACCCCCTTTTCCCCCAGATGTACTCTTTCTCGCCATTTTTGGTCACCGCGATGTAAAAAAGATGTTGAGACTCTAGAAAGTACAGAGAAGAGCAACAATGATGATTAGGGGACTGGAGGCTAAAGCATATAAGGAACGGTTGGT